GGAACCCTAAACCCTACATCCTCGAATGCCCTGACAACCGTAAAGCCCTAATGTAGAGTTTTGGGGGGATATTATACTGTAACTACAATAAGGAACCCTAGTTCTAGATATTCGGGCCCCTATGTTAAAGCCCGGAGGTGAAAGCAGTTGCCTTCGGGTTCTCGTGAGTGACCCGCTGCATCTCCTTCTGCTCAGGGGTCGTGTTGCTCAGCTTTGGTTGTTGTTGGGGTTTGGGGCTTTTGAGGGTTTGGGGTTCAGGGTGTAGGGTTTAGGGTTTGGGGTTTTCGGGGCTCTTGGGTTTTGGGGCTTCAAAGGCTTAGCATGTGCCGGGTAGACTTAAAGGATGGGTTTGGGGCTTCAGCATCTGGGGGTTCTACGTGCCAGTCAGCCAGAAAGGTCTAGGATTTAGGGTTGGGAGAGAGAAGGTGAAGCCCATGCACAGCATCCAAGACCGGAGAAGCTTGGAGAAAAACGGAGGTAGAATAGACACTTCGCCCAAGCGCCCTGGGGTTTCGCTTGGCCTTGGTTCTCGCAGAAAGCAGAAAGACGGTCCTGGGATGCAATGACGAGCCCATTCTCGTCCACATGCTCTGCTAGGAGCAGCAAGGCCTGAATGTTGAGAATATGGGTTTAGGATATGTTGAAGTAGAGCTACAATTATAGGAGCCCCAAGGAATAACACGAGTGGTTATTCAGGCTTGTACGTTAAGGGGCTCAGAATCGGAGATGGGGTTGCACAAGAAATCTGTCACATGGCCCTGCCACCCAAGAACCTCCATCCGAACAGCCGAAGCGGCAGACTAAGGACCGTGGCCTTGGCAATAGAATTCGCAACCTCTCAGCGGAACCCCCCACTCCCCGGCACAATCTCGGGGAGCTTACGATCTTCAACTTGGGATTCAGGCAGAGGCCTTAGTCAAATGTTCCAGTCCAGTGTAGTACAGGGGCCGTTGCCTTGGCATGTAAATAGAAGGGCCGTCTCCGACAACAAAGTAGCAGGGACTACACGGAGACCGCGTTGCTATTTATTCAGACCCATCTATCAAAGGCCTGGCTGAACATCAACTTGTTTCATAATCCCTATCAAAGGTGGGTGGCGGGCAACGCTTCTTAATCAGAGGTATAGATTCAATGAAACCCCACGAAAAACACAAAGACCTGAAGCCAACCAAGACTCTAACACCCTAGCTCCCAAACTCTCCAAAGCAAAGTTGAAACCCTAAACTCTAAACCCTATGCCAAGATGAAACTAAACCCTAAACCCCTAAACCCCTAAACCCTAAACTCTAAACCCCTAAACCCCAAACTCTAAACCCCTGAACCCCTAAACCCTAAACTCTAAACCCCTAAACCCCAAACTCTAAACCCCTAAACCCGTAAACCCCTAAACCCTAAACTCTAAACCCCTAAACCAAGATGAAGCTCCCAGTCCTACGCCGGGCTCCCGAACCGGCAGGCGTGCTGCGGCCTCGAGGTCCACGTAGTGACCCGCCGCGGCCTTCATGAGGCTCAGGTTTTGGGGTTTTGGGGTTTGGGGTTTGGGGTTTAGTGTTTAGGGTTTTGGGTTGAGGATTTTAACTATTTTGGGGTTTGGTTTCGGTCTTAGGGAACTATTTTGGGTTTAGGGTTTAAGGTTTAGGGGTTTTGACTATTTTGGGGGGGTTTTGTTTTCGGTTTTGGGGTGCTTAAAAAATGGGGCCTTCAAGCTGAAAGGCGCTCCTCCAGTCGGAACGTGCCCACTCCTCGAGCAGGCGCTCCGGCAAAGGTTGCGGATCACAGGCTCGAAAGCCAAAAGAGTTTTAGGGCTTAGGGCTTTTTCGAATTTAGGGTATCGAGTTCAGGGCTTGAGGCTTTTTCTAGTTGTTTAGGGTATCGAGTTTGGGGCTTAGTATCGAGTTTAGGGCTTAGGGCTTTTTCGAGTTTAGGGTATCGGATAGTGTTCCTAAGAGGAGTCGTTTCGGGCCTCGTCGGGGTTGGCGACGGCTAGCACACCCCGGCATCAAGCTAACCGGAGCCTTTCCTGACAAGACATCGAACAGCGACAAAGACCGAGAACCACCAAACCCGAAGTCCCCTGTAGGAACCTTTACACGAGCCCCAATAGGACCCCACAGGACCTCACAGGAGCCCTCCAAGGAGCCCTTTCAGGAACCCTTGCAGGAACCCTCAGCCCCTACCAAGTCCCTTAAACGAAATCCGAAATGAGAAGCCGTCACAGAACCCGGAAAAGAATCCGCAAAGGACCCCTTGTAAACGGTAAGGGACCCTTTGTAGGAGCCCGTAGTAATCACAAGCCATGATTCGAGCCTCGGGCGTCGCGCCCTTCTGCAGATTCCTCAGGGCCTCTCGGACACCGGGACCCCAACCTGGCACAAAAAAGCTGTGAGAAGCTTTCTACACGGGTTCTACAAGGGCTCTGCAGTGCAGGGGTTCTGTATGGGGATGGGCTCCTGTTTTTGTCTTCATTCGACATGGCGAGGATCGCAGCCACTAGCGGCAGCAAGTAGCGGCAGAATAGGGTTTGGGGTACATTATACTATAATTGTAAAAAGGAACGCCCAAAATAGTTCAGGCAATTATTAAGGCCCCTATATTAGGAAGAGTAGTTGCGGCTAGCCCAAGTCGACGCCACAACAACGACGGCTCCCGTCCGTGCATGTCGACTGACATTCTGACTGGCTACACAATTTTCCAAGCCCTAAACCCTAAGCCCTGAATCCTAAGACCCAAACGTTAGCCCTGTACCCTTGCTATGCTAAGCCCTAGACACAGCGCACCTCGATCAGGCTCAGACTCGTGGGCGAACTCCGCCCAAGTCCTGCACAGGCAGGACACCCCAAACCTAATGTGGAGGCTGTAGAGGCCTTAAGAATTGGAATGGGGGTTTGGTCCATTAAAGAATACTCATAACAAGGAACCCTAAGTAATATGTGGGCTCCGTTCGGAACCCTAAGGAATATTTGGGCTCCAGTATAGTATACTCATAGTAAGGAACCCTAAGTAAGGAATAATATTGGTAACAAAAACCTGAAGGCTTCCCCTAAACCCGCAGTTAAGGCTTGAGGCCCTAAGGGCTTAGGACGTAAGGCTTAGGGTTCCAGCCTTCGGGCTTAGGGTTTTTTGGGACTTAAGGCTTGGAGCTACCGTCCCATGGCTCCGGCTCCCGGCCTTGGGATTCGCAGCAAGATCTCTAGGGTTTCGGGTTGGAAGATGAGCTGGCGCAGTAACTTGTTCTGCTAGATGAGAATCCTTCTGACGGTTTGGGGGGTCCCCATGCATATTGGGGTCAGTTTCTCATTAGAGTTCACCTGTTTCTGACAGAGACCGCAGTTCAAGCATCGCTTTCAGACACCAAGCCTTGCATTGCCTTGCATGCTCCGAGCTCCTCCAGGTCCTGGAGAAATGCTGAAACTCGAATCCCTGCAAAGAGAGGGTCCGCAGAGCCTGGCATCCGGCGGTCGCTTGACTTAGAAGGGCTTGCCGCCTTGTTGTTGCTTTCGGCCTTCTTGGCAGTTCATCTCAAGACCATGTAAATGACCAAGCAAGTACCAGTAGCATTCCCTCGATTTCTTACTGTATTTATGGCATAATCAACCCCCGGAATCTTAGCAAGTTATTTAGGGCCCCCCAGAAGATACATCGAACATTGGTATTGATTAGAGACATGCAGCACCACAGACAGGTACATCGGTGGGAGATTTTCTTTCCAAGGGAGGGGCTCACATGAATGCCTTCTTCGAGTGCGATGATCTGAAGGACTGCCAGACCTTCACGCCCTCAACCCTGAACCCCCCGCATGACCACAGTCGGACCCGAAATCCTCCAGACCTCACCCGCAAGACCCAGAGACCCCTAGGAGGAGCAAGCCAAGCCCTAAAGCCCTAAGCCCTTTAAGACGTGCGTGTCCATGAAACCCCGAAACCTACGAGCAGTTGAATCCTTCCGAGGATGGCTGGAGCCTTTCGCCGATGTGACCCAGGAACGAAGGAAGGTATGCAAGACGACAAGAGTTCGCATGAATATCATTGTGGAGCATGATTATGATGTTGCCTGTGCCTGCGAGTGGGATCAGTCTGATGATTATGATTATGATGCTTGTTTCCCACCCCCGTTCTGAGCCGAAAAGCCGGAAGCGCCTGGAGTAGCTCAAGACCATGGCAACTGTGAGCCTTGCCGGGCGTTTTTTTTTTTTTTTTGGGCGGGGGGGGGGGGGGGGGGGNNGTTAGGGTTTAGATTAAGGCTTACGTTTCAGGTTTCAGGCTTTTGTTGTTGACGGCTTCAGGCTCTGGGGGCTGTTGGGGCTGAGGGTTTAGGGCCTGGGGATGTCTAGGGTTTAGAGGCTTGGGATTATAGGAGGTGTGCAGTACTTGGGCTTAAGCTTTCGTTGAGCTGACGAGGTGCATGAGTTACAAATGGCTACGGCTACACGTCACGTCGCGATACGTCATATTATAGGTAGCTCAGATGCTCGGGCACAAGGAAATGGGCAATTTTCCGGCTTCCCAACACGCAGCATCCGTAACTGCTAGCAGGTCGGAGCCCTATACTGCTCCGATGGCCTCACCAGGCCGACCAGGCCGTATCTTCGAGGAATCGATGCCGGCGTTGGGCGGAATCGATGCTTGCAATCGCTTAGGGCCCTGAGGGCGTACTGTTGAGGTTTGGGACTTATTGCTTCCTGCTGCAATAGGGTTCGGGCTCAGGGCTTATGTGCGGTTTAGGGTCCACAAAATTAGAAGGCTTGGTTTAGGGGCTGGCAGTTGGAGTAAATGGGGCTTGGGCCCCAGCGCCTACACTTAACATTGGAGTCTCTGAAGGCAAAACTGTGGGGAAGGGGACTTGCGCTACCTGCACTCCAAGCTCAGCATTACTCATTGCCCCGCCGCCTCAACAAAGAAGAACTCTTGGGTGTCCTCATTGATCCAGCAGGGCCTCTCATCGACTTCTCCAGGACCGACATGAACCCAAGGGGCCGGGCTAAGCTCGGCGAAACCATCCTCAGAACCATCCTCTCTGCGGCAGACCCAGGCGTGGATGGAGCCCTCCAAAGAGATTCTGAACCACTCATCGCCCAAAGAGGAGAGCACGGCATCTTGTGGCAGAGTCGTCTCCGTCTCTGCCTCCTCGTCCTCGTCCGCGGAGTGCTCTCGGCTCAAATCGAAGCATTCCGGGGTTGCCATCTTGTTCCGTCGGATGCTCGTGATGCCATCATCGCTGCCCTCAAAGGGATCGGGAGGAAGCTCCGGTGGGCTGGGACTTCGCTCGCGAAAGCGGTCTTTGCGCAGCCACTCGGGTTCTGCTCCTGGGCGCTTGTGGAAGGCACGGATGAAAAGTCGGTTGCCTCGGTTCGAAATCTGGAACCGTGGCTTGTCTTTGGAATAGCTCTCCTGGACAACTTCCCTCACATCCCTGGTGTTCCATCGCGCGAACTCCTCCAAGGATAAGATCTGGCTAAGGTCCGTCCACCCATCCTGGTCCATTTCGATGCCCATCTTTCTTAGAAACCCGTGCTTGTCATCGTGTCTCAGCCTCGTTGCTAGCTGCCGGGACAGCGGAAGCAGGCTTTGGCGCAAGCTTCCTTTGTCTTCGGGGTCGACCCTCGAAACGCAGTAGTCCAGGAACTCGTCTGAGACTCTTCCTTTGCCTTTGCCTTTGCCTTTGTACATGGCTTACGGAAACATCTGCGAGCAAGCGCCTGCGAATGCTCTTACGCAACTGGCCTGTAAGCCTAGCATGGAATGCACTGCACACTGTCTTTGGCATCCTGAGGCGTGTGTGACAAGTTGCCGTGCAGATCCTGGGACAAGGCTAGAGTACAGAAGGTCAGAAGGCATAACAACCCTAAACCCTGACAACTTCTCTAAGCGTCTGCTTGCAGCTGCTTGGGCCAGGAGGCTAAGACTTTATTGGATCCCTGCGCCCCACACCCCAAATCCTACTCCAGTCTTCGGGGTTGCGGGTTCCGGAGGGAACTCAATCACTGGCAGTGATACACTCTCATAGTCTCGACACAGACACAGCACAAGAAATATCCCCAAAACCTCGTTCGAACGACTATTACTACCGTTGCTATGCTCAGCTATGATTGTTGTGTGTTGTTAAGCTTGTTCTTCTGTCTGTGACTATCACTGTTATTGTTATCAAGGCCTCTATATCAAACCCCATGCCCAACAGAGTCTACCAAGTTTGCCGCCTCTTCCTCTGCCAGAGATGACACCAGCTCGGTGAGGGGAAGCGGCTCACCTGTCAGCCACTTCGTGGGTTTAGGATGTATAGGGTTTCAACTAGGGTTTAGGATCTATAGGGTTTCACTAGGGCTTGAGGATCTATAGGGTTTCATTGGGGTTTAGATCTATAGGATTTCATTCGGGGTTTAGGATCTATAGGGCTTCATTAGGGGTTTTGAGTATAGGGTTTAGGGTCGTTTAGGGTTAGGGCTCAGTTGGTTTAGTAGGCTCTGGCAGGCCTTTTTCACGCTTTGGGAACCCCTGTCGCTCCTGGGAGGTGGCAAGCTCCAAGGGCAAATGAAGCAAGACTATCAGAATAAAGGTCGGAATCGTTTAGGGCTTAGGGTTTA